TGGGAGTAGCAATAGACACTATACAAAATGAAAACATCAACACATAATTAATGCCAAACAGATTGCATGCAGCTATCCACTGTAGCTTACTGTTTTGTTTTGTCATGCACAGCTATTTATTAGGCAAATATAGGTCTTTAGAATTAACAACATTAAAAAGATAGAAAAAAATATCATTTAAATTTTGAATAATCATTGTTCGTATCTAAGTAATTGAACGGGAACTAATAACTAAAGTTATTGTAGTTGAATAGTATTTTGATTTATTAAATATGTATATTATTTTGAGTCTCTCAAAACGATATCTTTTATAGTCAATAGGTAAAAGAAATATTCAAATTTAAAATTAATTTTTGAGGTTGATTAATATTATTAGTTTTGTTATGTGTTGATTAAAATATTTCTTATTTTTCTTTATTTTTTATGTTTTATTCTCGTTCATGTTTTTAATAGTATTTTTCATCTTCGTATTCTAAAATTTATAATTTATTTTTTATTTTTCCATACTTTTTTGTTGATGTTTTTTTCCTCTATTTGTGTGCGTGATGAATGATGATTATATTGATTGCGTGATTTTATGAATATTTTATTTGGATAATTATAAAAATTTAATATATTTTTTGAAATTATATAAATAAATACTCATATAATACAAGTTGATAAGGTAAATGAAATTAAAAACTTCATGAAATTTTTACATAATTTTATATATGTAATAAAAAATAAGTCTTAGAATCCTTACCCATCTTTCTTGATTTACTTTAACTTTCCAGCCACACCAATTAATCAATTGATATCCAAATAATGAAAAACTATTACTCAATGTAATAAAATGCTCAGGTGATATTGTTGTGATGTTGATGAGTTAAAACCAAGATTAGTTACTTAAATTTTAGCTAATGTCTAAACAAAAAAAGTTTATTATTACAAAAGCACAAAGGTGGTAGAAAATCCTTGATTGATTTTGAATATCAAGGACTAAAAAAATATTAAATCTAAATAATAATAATCAATGTAAATAATTAGATCGAGTGAAACTAAAATTAATAAGTAATTACTATCATTTTAAAAATAAAGTCAATTTTCATTAGGTAATAATATTTATTTTTTAATATTTTCAAATTAATTACCTTATCTTTCTTATTCAAAATAATATATTCCTTCTTCAAAATAAGACATTTATAAAAGTATAAAGAAGTAAAGTTGCTTTAATTTAATTGTTTTAAAAAGTAATATATTTTTTATTATTATTAGTAATTATCATTATGAAACAAAACACACTAAGAATGAATTTTATGATCATTTTATCAATAAAACTATAATAAATATTTGTTATGATCATTTCAATAATTCACACCCTTTAGGAACAATAGTTAAATAATTTAACAATCAATTTGTAAAAAAATATGTTTTGTTGTTTCAAATTTTTTTTCTCAATATCTATTTGTTTAAGTTTCATTACACAAGATAAATATCAAATCACTATTTTTCATCTAAAATCACTCTTTGTTATTTTATATTTTTATAATAAATATAATCAACAGGATAAATATAATAAGTAAAAAACAATTACTGTAATTTTATATTTTAAATTACACAAGATAAATATCAAATCACTATTTTTCATCTAAAATCACTCTTTGTTATTTTATATTTTTATAGTAAATATAATCAACAGGATAAATACATAATAAGTAAAAAACAATTACTGTAATTTTATATTTTAAAAATAACCAATATTTTAAAATAATTTTAAAAAAATAATAAAAGGAACCTCATCGAGTATTTTAATTTTTATGAACATTTATAATTTCAAGATGAATAAATTTTGACATTTCCTTTAATACATGACTCCGAGGATAAAAGATTTTGTATTCAACATCTATATTTTAGATTCATCCATAAAATTTTTAAATGAGAAAAAAATTAATGTATTATTCAATTTGAAAGACATCTTATATAAAAAATATTTAGGTAAAAAAAATGAATAAAAAAATTATAAATAAGTTAACAAGTAAGTTTTCAAGTTTAAATTTTTTCATTTAATCAAATTCAAGTTTTGATTTAACTAACTTAAATAAATAAATAAATCAAATTTGAATATAAATAAATCAAATTTAAATATATATATATATATATATATATATATATATATATATATATATATATATTTACACCAGAATCAAGTTCAGACCATCTTTAGTTTTTTATGACTTGATTTGTATATTATTGAAGTTCTCCTTAAATATTTTTATGTTTATCAAGACAACATAATATATGGAATAATTATAATTATAATAGTAGACTTATCTGTTAAAAAATAATATATATATATATATATATATATATATATATATATATATATATATATATGCATGCGCGCTGTAATGCATGTACAACCTTTTAAAATATTATGATAAATACAAATTACAATTATTTTATCTATATATTTATATGCATAAAAAAAACTTAAGCTAAACGCAAAACTTCTAATTTAACTAGTTTAAATAATCAAATTTAATTATAACCTTAAATTTATTTAACTAAACAATTCTCAATAAAAAAATATGATTTTTTTTTGTTATATATACATGAAGTAGAGGAATTTATGCGAACATATATATATAATGAGTGGAGCTAAAACAATTGACAATTAAGAAAATTAGATTATGGCTGTAAATCTCTCTAATGATACAATAAAAATCCAATCTTAAGTCTTAATCGTTAAAATGAATAAAGTTTGACCATGAAGTTGAGAAGATGGAGAGGCATGAAACTTGGGTAAAGACTCTGATGCACACGAGGCCAGAGTCAAATCTTTGCCTACCATGTGTCTTCCACCATTGCTTATAAATCCATCATTACCCGTTAATCCGTACTTCTTTTTCTCCACTGCAGGTGGGATTGTCTCCTAGGAGGTTGCTTCGTCTAATCATCCCCTAGGTTAGCCCATAAATCTTTTTCTCAATCTTTATTTTTTTAATAATATTAATTTAGCTTTTGTTCATAATATCGCCACATGATTAATTAAATTAGGGTAACTAATGCTGATTAATAAATGATGTGTTCAAGATGTGACTTATATGAAATCTCCACCTTAAATTATGTAATAATTTATCGTTTTGATGTCGGTTACCACCTTAAGATAATCTCCACTTTAATTATTATATTAAATATATTTTTAATATATAATATAATTTGTGTTTTAGGATAATCTCCTTAAAATATAATATAGATTACTTTTTTAGTAGTATGACAGCGAATTTGATTACTAGTAAAAAGGACGCTTTGAGTTTTAATTAATTTAAATTTGATTGAAAAATATAATTTGTAGCATAATTAATTTGATTATTATAAAAAAAATGTACTTCTGTTTACTTTTTAAATTGAAAGTGAACTTAGCAAATACGGGTGAGAATAACACTTCCCGTTTGTTGAGACTTTACTAGCCGAAGTTAAATTGTCGACCTAGGACGCTGGATTGAGTTGGGCTTTAAATATTTTGGGCCTTTTCTTCTTAAGTTCCATGTAACGTTTTTTTTTCCCTACTATCTATAGTTTATTTTTGTAATAATAATCATTATTATTATTTAGTATTTTAATATTATTATTATTATCAGTAACCCTTGGATATGTCAACTTAAGAAACTTTTGTAGATCATTCAATCCATTAAATTTTTACTTCTACTACTAATAAATTATTATTTTTCAGAACTTTCTATTTTTCTGAAAAAAAAAATTCATCAATTCAAAAATATATTTATAAAACTTTTAGATTCAATTTAAAAATTTTCCCTATTTTTTAATTTGAAATTTGAAAAAACATAATTTTTATACATTCTATATTGTTTATTCTAAAATTTTAAAAAACATTATGTATTTAACAAATGATAAATCATATAATAATTTTAGAGATGTTATTCCAAAAAAAAATTAACATTCTCAAATATAATCATTATAGAACATTATATAATAAATTTGATCATTACAAAATTATTTTTCTTGAATAATATTTGTTTAATTAGTTTTTCAAAAATATTTATAATACTTTAAATTGTTGACTCCGAATGATAACGTTGAAATAAATGCCACTATTTTGTCACCTAAGCCCAATCCAATATAGCACGCGGTGCTGCAACTCCATCCCGTGAGAAGTGTGAACATGAATTATTAATTTTTTTTCGCCTCCTCTTTAAAATTTTAGACAATTTTCATTGTTTATAAGATAAACTTTTCAAATATAAAAAATATAATATGAAAATCTTATTTTCACAAAAGTGTACAATTTTGTTATGACGTTATAAGAAGAGACAACTTGTCACTAAAATAAAATGGTATATCTATTCCAATGCAGTGTTACCCGAATAAATAGATGAGACTTAAAAAAAATTATTTTCTTTTTCTTTTCTTTCCTGGTATTTCACTTTCTTTACTTTAAAGCAGAGAATCTTGTAGCTCTCAAACTTGTTTTAGTAAGAGGAAAACTTAATTACATACAATAAATAAATCCATAAATTTATTTTCAAAGTTTGAGAAATAAGCTAAAATTTATGAATACTTTTTTTGAAATATTTTTTAAAAATCATAAATTAATAATTTATTAAAATAGTTTTTTTTTATTTGTTTTTACCGTTAAATTTTTTTGATTTGATAACATAGAAAAAAAATCATATAAAAAAATGGAAGAAAAGTGACTTTAGTGTTGGATTTTGAGGAGGAGTGTGAAGTGGACATCCTGGTCCTCATGGAAAGCAGGATATAGGAATAGGACCCAACATTTGTGCTAACCACGCCAGAGTTTCATTATTTGCAAGCTCCCATTAACCAACCCTCAATTCCCCCATTGTGCTGTTGGCACACCACCAATTTTCGTGGGAACCAACTAGCTAATCAAACACAAAACAAAAAGAAAAAGAAAAAGGTATAATTTTTTTAAAATAACCCGTTCTTAATCATCAACCACCCCATCTGTGCCCTCTTCAATATCTTCTCCTCTCGCTATGGGTTGCGGCTCCTCCTTTCCGGGTAAACTCTGATGTTTCGTTGTTGATTTAGCTCTGGAGCTCAAAAGGGTTCCGGAAAAAAAAAAATATTTTTTTGACTGATTGTGGTTTTGATTCGTGATTTTGGGGTTATGGTTTAAAGGGGTTCGGGTTGTTGTGAGTAATTCTTCAATTTTGATTCTGATGGGGTTTTGGGGGTGACTGATTTTGTGTTTGCAGATAGGGATTCAAGGCAGTTCGGTCGACCCAATACCGAGAATGGTGGAGGGCAGGATGCCAGGAATCTAAGGGTCAAGGTATTTGTGCAGGGTTCTTGGGTTGCTTGTGTTTTGCTAAATTCCTTGGTTTCTTTCAAAAGAATTTTAACAGAGTGCGTTTTTTTGTTTTATTTTTTTATCAATTTATCAATATGGTGTCATACATTTAGCAGTTTCTTGTAAATATTGGATTTGTTGTCGAGTGAGAAAGTGAATTGTTAGAGATCCCTCGACTACCCATCGATATGGTCAAAATAGAATTTGTGAGTAGGGGAACAATCCTTCCTCTGGAGCTTCTTCTTGGGGCTGAGTTAGGTTTTAATTTAAATTCTAATATGAATTTTAGGAGAGGGAAGCTGGTGAGGTTTACGTTTTCTGTTGCCAATTATTAATTTCCTGGGTTTTGTTGAAAGCCGTAGCATGGTGAGAGAGAACATGACCCTGTTATTAATTATCTAAAAGCTTCAGAACCATATATTTTACCTTGATTCTTTCATACTCGTCCTGTTTTGATTGTTAATTCTTATTTGTTTGTTGTTGCAAGTTTTCATACTTTAATTAGTGACACAATGTTGAAATAACTTACTTCACAGAAATTTGATCTGCTAAAAGAATGCATTGCATTTGTTGATAAGATTATGATCTATACTTATCATAATGAATGAATAGAAATTATATGCAATGGATGAAAGTCAAGTGCTTTGTGTGTTTAATTATCTTTTTGGTCCTATTATTTATTTATTTTGGTCAATTTGGTTCCTTTATTAATAAAATATTCATTGAAGTTACTAATTTTTAAAACATGCAACAATGTGACACTTTTATATGTTGAAATTGATGTCATTAGTTTTATAAACTGTAACTATGCGTTGGTTATAAATTGTATTAAATTAACCGTTAATATTTGAAAGTTAACATTTTTACTGCTAATTGGATGGAAAGTGGTCACATTTTTAAAAATTGGAGGGACTTGATTGATCGAACCCTTCATTGATAGTAGAAAAAAAAAATGAGAGACCAAAAAGGTAATTAAGCGTGCTTTGTGCAACCATTGTGTCTTTATTTGCTAGACTGCACATTGATACACTTCCAAAGAAAGAGAGAATGGGAAATATGGTGATAGATGAAACTACTATTTCTTGTAAATTATAAGCTGTGTCAAGCTATCTGGGTCCTTGCAAGTATTGGATTATCTACAAACATCTAATTTGCAAATTATAATCAGTCCACTGTTAGAGCAAGTTCATAGAGGTGAAGGATTTGGAGGCCAATCAATATAACTGTTCAGGAAATGCTGATAGAATAAATATCGGTGTAGTTCACAGGAGTTTTTGCATGTGATGTTGCTTTTAGCTTTTAACAAGTCATTGAAGGAAAAGGGATTTGGTTGAATTTGATCATAATGAGTTCTGTTATACTCCAGATTTTCTTGTTTAGCCTTTAAAGGAAGCCATAACTAACCTTGAAATGTCACTGAAAACAGCTTGTTCTCTTAGGTGATTCTGGTGTTGGTAAAAGCTGTATTGTTCTACGATTTGTTCGTGGTCAGTTTGATGCAACATCCAAAGTAAGAATATGTTGCTTTTGTTTTGGTACTTTATTTTATTTTTTAATAATGTAAACTTTCTTAATGTTGTCTATGACTTATTATTCCATGGAATTGTTCTTATGTTTTAGACTTTTTAATGTAAGGTAACTGTGGGAGCTTCTTTTTTGTCGCAAACAATAGCTCTGCAAGACTCTACAACAGTCAAATTTGAAATATGGGATACTGCTGGTCAAGAGAGGTGTCTGTCATTTATCTTTCCAGATTATGCGTGATCTATTGTACAAACCATTAGTAGAGATTAGCTATACATTCTGTTTCTCATAACATGTTCCCTTTATTTTATCTCAAGATCAAATTCTTTTTGAAGTAATATTTGTTTGCTAATAATTTATTCAGGTACGCTGCATTAGCACCTCTCTATTACCGTGGTGCAGCAGTTGCAGTTATTGTCTATGATATAACAAGCCCAGAATCTTTTAGCAAAGCACAGTACTGGGTTAAGGTAGATTTGCAGTTATTGCATGGTTCTATTTTCTCATTTCTTGTTTGGTTGGTTATTTAAAATTTTCAATGAATAACAAATAATTCCCTTTATTATTTAGTCTGGAACTGTGTAATGATAAGTATAATACAGTCCTGTTTTAATCCATTTCCTTCCTTTAAAATTTTTGTAATTAAGTAATTTACCTAATGGATGTGCATCATGACTAGAACTAGATGGCAATATCCCTACCTAAGAGCAGGTAACAAGAAAGTTAAGGAAATTAATGCTCTGTCTTGATCTGTATTTGCGCGATAGATGTGCAAGCATTGAAAGCTTGCTTGTACTACCGGGTTTTATGTTGGTAGATGAGAGATAAGGGAGTATAGGGAATGAAATGTGCCAATATGAGGTGGTTGAGGCGTTTATCCACAGATGTTCTATTTTGCAAACAACTAGAAGTATGCTTTGGGATTGAGTTAGATGCAGACCATTTATAATACTGTATTGAAGTTTTTCCAGTCTTGATGTTGGACTATCCATAGATGTCTAGTTCTGCAAATTTTACACTCCAAATAGCCATTCCTGGGGGTGTGAGATGGGTTATAATGGCTCACAATGGCTAGAAATGTGGCCAAAATACTCCTTATCAGGCCTGGGGAATTCTTTTCTGAACTAGCTTTTGGTTTGAGGCAGATTATCCACTCTGTTGAAAGTCCCACATCGCCTACCTCATGTCATTTGGTATGGTTTAAATACATGTTAGGCTACTCCACATATTGCCAATTGGTTTTATGTTGGAACCTTAACATGGTATTAGAGCCAAAGCCTAACATTTTTCCGGTTATTGTCATGGGCCAAAAGTTGCCCTTTAGTTGTGTCAAAAGTACCCTTTGCCTGGTCTGGCAGGCTTCGTTGGAGGGGGTGTGTTGAAAGTCCCACATCGCCTACCTCATATCATTTGGTATGGTTTAAATACATGTTAAGCTACTCCACATATTGCCAATTGGTTTTATGTTGGAACCTTAACATAATATCAGAGTCAAAGCCTAACATCTTTCCGGTTATTGTCATGGGCCAAAAGTTGCCCTTTAGTTGGGTCAAAAGTGCCCTTTGACTGGTCCGGCAGGCTTCGTTGGAGGGGGTGTGTTGAAAGTTCCACCTCGCCTACCTCATATCATTTGGTATGGTTTAAATACATGTTAGGCTATTCCACATATTGCCAATTGGTTTTATGTTGGAACCTTAACACACTCCATTTCTATTTTTTGTTTTTTTACATAACCCAAAGGTGGTTGGACGACCCATATATGGTATAAACAATGGTAAGAGATTTCTGTTCTTGTTTATAGAAAAACACATGAAATTCTTTATATTTAAGGTGGGAATTCATATCAGACCAGTCAATCACATGCTACCTTGATCGCAGGGTGGCTGAGTAGACTGGCCCCCCTTCTGCTCTTGAGGCATTCGTTGTGGAGCTTACTGCCATTGTGTTGCCCTTCCCTTGTGGGTTTTGTGGCTGATCATCTGTTACAGTTGTTACCAGACAGCATCTCTGACCTGCATGGTCATCAGACAGCTGTTCTGCAACTTCTGAGTTCTGACTGGGCAAAATGATTGGGTTAGGAGTAAGTGGTCCTCTAGGGATTTTTTTGCTGGGTGAAAGTGGGGGACAGCTGATGGGAGAAACTAAAAAAAAGCTGGGGGTTTTAGTGAGAAGGGGTGTTGGGACCTACATCCCAAACCACACTCCAACCCCAAACTGTCCGTCCTACTATTGGCTAGGGGTTTTCTTTTTGCTTTATATTATTATTATTATTGTTATTAACCATCTATAAAGTACCGATACTTCAATTTGCTTCATGTATCCGTTCCTCGGATTGTATCCATGCATGTTGACCATATATTATACTATTATGATACTAGTCTATAAGGTTTTCTATTATTTGTAAAATTATAGAAAAAGTTATTAATACATTATAATTATACTTCATATAAGAGAGATAACAATAAATAGATAGAATTAATATCAAATTTACAATAGCTGTCTTTCCATTATAGTGTTTTTTGGGAGCGGCCTCTCTGCCACTATTCGCTATTGACTACTATGATCAATATGTTCTTAATATTCTAATGGACTGCTTTCCCTCATTTTCCTTTCACAAGTGAGATTGCATTCTAATCACTGTCATTATTGATTAAGTGTTGGAAAAGCCTTGTGAAGAATAAAAAACACAGCAAATAGTTATCTTTGACATACTCAAAATTGACATCTCCTTAATGTACTGCGATTATGCTGCTATATATAATTTGCATGTTATAAAATCATAAGATATCAGCTGTATTATTTGAAGCTACATTTCCGTGTATTTTGTTTTGGCAACTGAAATATTAATAATTTAGGAGCTACAAAAACATGGAAGCCCTGATATAGTGATGGCTCTGGTCGGTAATAAAGCTGATCTTCAGGAGAAGAGGGAAGTTGCTGTCCAGGTAGTGCAACCTTCCCCCATAATACAGCTGTATTAAAAAAATAAAAAATCAATTTTTACCTCATACTTTGCTTTAATGTTTCCATGAAGGATGGCACTGACTATGCTGAGAAGAATGGTATGTTTTTCATAGAGACATCTGCAAAGACAGCAGATAATATAAATGAACTGTTTGAGGTACGCTTGGTGTTTACTTTCTTCCAGTTATTAGATTATAAAATTAATCATGTCATTGGCAAGAATGAGAATGTATGAACAGTAGAAAGTAGATATCTGTTTAATTTGTATGGCAATTAGGATTGGACATAGTCACATCTTACCTTGGGTAGCCCTGCAATTATTTTTGACTTATATTAAATATCCATGTTCCAAATTTTATTTTCTGCGCATAAAATATTTGAGAATCAATGTCTCTTCGGATTGAATGTAAGGTGCCAAAATAATATGTGGTCCTGTTTTGGTACTGGGCATATGATCTGAAGTCTAATCTGTTCGTTCTACCGTACACTCAGGGAACAAGATGCTTAAGGAAAAAATATGATCAAGTGTTAGGAACTGTAGGAATACTGTTTGATACTGACTTGCAGATCTTTAGGATTTTCCAGAGGGTATGCTAGTAGTCAATATTCGGTTTTAACTTTGATCTTTGGTCTCTTAGGACATTGTTGACTATGCTACTAGCAAGCTTCACCATGATGTCCTTGCTGCCTGAAGATAGTTGTACTTGTAGCGAACTCATATAGACCTATTGGAGGGGCTAAAGATGATCTTGAAATAGGAATTCGTCCTACAAAAATCCAAGATTGCATCTTTTCCATCAAAGGTAATATCTTGGTCTTGGAATACATAATGGAGTTAACTATTAAAAAATATTTTAGGTTAGAGAATCAGAAGTAAAATGGCCAGGGCTAAATTTTGAGGTTACGCAAGATTGATACTTGTAGAGAAGTTCAACAAGCATTCCGGAAAGCACTAACTTCTAGGTAGCCTCCTATATAGGAAAAAGATCACAGCCATTCGATGCCTGCTAATAACACTGAAGATGTTTAAGAAAGATAAAAATTTAAGAATGACTTTTTGGTATGAAAATAACAACACTATTAATAAAAAATTATTGATGTGTTATTCTAAAGTACTTGCTGTTTCTGACCTATAATAATTAAAATTTGCTGAGAGGGTCCCAGGAATCTGGTCGCAGCCTCTACTGAGGCTATGTAACTTTAGTTCCAGGCTAAGATTGTATCATGAATCTCTGGGTTAGTAGTCTCCTAAGAGACCTAGTACCACTTAAGCTGCAGCTCGTGGGATCGAGTCATTTCTTGCTTTTCCTTGTCAATAATGTCATGGTGTGCTGTAAGTGAATCTTAAATTGTAATTTATGTCAGTCAAACATCTTGCAAAATTCTTTGGTGAATTTGTTGTTTAATATTACTAGCACCATGTTGCCTCAGTGGGATAATGATCTTAACACTAATATCTAATTTCTATATCATGATTGCATGTTTTTATAGAAAACCTCCTAATCTTCTTCCTCTTCTCTCTCTCTCTCTCTCTCCCCCCATCTATGCAATAGATATCATCACTGTTAGCTCTGCCTCAAGCTTATGTTTTGTTCATCATTTCTCCACAACCCTTTCTTTTGAGATATCATCCTTTTTCTCCATTCCAAATAGGCTTAACCATTAAAACCTTGGGTTTGACAGGAAATTGCCAAAAGACTGCCTCGCCCATCAGTTAGTTGAAGTATCCAGATAGCAGTTCAGTGAAGGATCTGCATTTGCTTTTGATCCTCCAAAACTGTAGTGTATGGATTGTGTTTATGTATATTGTGATTATTATTGATATATCTGTGGTCTTTCATCAACCCGTAAGAATATTAGGGTATGCTTTGTGAGACCCACAAATAGATTTCACTTGTCACGGATTCATTGCTAGGCCTAATTAAGGCTATAATATCAAGGATACCGACTTAAACATCCATGCATTTGGTTTCTGTTGGCCATGCTCTGTGAGACCACAAATCATGCCTAAATATCTTCAATTTAAGACCCTTATATTACCCTAATGCCATGCAAAAATATGAAGCTATGCCATCCAATTATATTTTATATCAAAATGTATTTTTAGGATTGCAGTTCCCTTACGCAAGCAGTGAGTCACAAATTCAAAATGAAAATGGGGTATACTATAGGCCTGTGCTATTATTGATTTATTTTATTCGGTGGCTGCCACGTTTCTTTGTTTAAAACGCGGTTTACAGCATCGTCACTTGTCGGCAGAATTTATGTGAAATTTTCTAAATACTTTTGCCGTTTTCATTGCAAATTTCAGAATTCATGATTGAAATAAAGCCCCTCAAAAACTCTAAATATTTATAACTAAATTATATTATGCGTTCAGAGTTGACCATTCACCAATCTACAATCATAGGAATTAGTACTTAATTTATTCTCTTCCCACACTTAATTTCATAGAAGAATTCTTTTATCCCACACTTTTTATAGTTTCGTATAATAAGCTTTGATAATTAATTTATGAATTTAAATATATTCTGTCAGTATACAATTTTTCCCTTATTTTTTGTCCTCGGAAAGTTTACAATAATTATTTTTAGTTCTTATAAGGTATGCAAATTTTGGTTTTAATTTATACAAAATGTTTTTCTTTGATTTTTGTCTGCCTAAAATTTTAGACAACTAATTTTACTTCGTATATGTATTTTAAAGTAAATCAGTAATGTTTATTTTACAAAAATATTTTTTAGATATTACATAATGATCTTATATCATAATACGTTGCCTAAAATGATTATTTGACTTTTTTTCAATACCTAATATATTAATTAATGTTGTAACATATTATAAATAAGAGTAATGATTTTTTAATTATAAAAGATTTTTTTAAATAACAGTAATCAAAATTAAAACATATATATTTTTACGTGGATTAAAAATGTTTAATATTTATGAATAAAGGTAATATAATTCCATATCTTTAGTAATTAAACTAGGCAAATGTTAAACCGTGTTTTAAAGATAGTATTTTAGAAATAAAAAGTGTAAATTGTCTATTAACAAATATTATTTATACATCTCATTCTAATTTCAGGTACATCTTAATGTAATTTTAACATGTTTTTTTTCTATTGTTGAGGATATTTATCAGCCAGACACATCAATTTATTAAACGGATAGAATTTAATAGCTATTAATTGAAGCTCTAAATAAATAATAATAATAATAATAATAATAATAATAATAATAATAATAATATTTGTACAGATAGCTAGTATTTTCTATAAAAGACAAACTAGTTTTTTCACTCTAATACGATTCAATATTTTATTTGAAAAAAAAGTTTGCCTTTTTAAATATTATTATTTTTTATTTATTCATACAAAATATTATAAGTAGTTGTGTTTTGTATTAATAGATAACGAAAATGGAAATTTAAAAGTTGTTAATAAAGAATTTATTTAGTATAATGATAAAATTTAACTAAATTGTTTGTTTTCATGGGTATGTATTATTATGTAGGAAATATTTTATATTTTAAAGATTAAAATAACAAAAATGTTGAATTTGAATAATGGAAGTTAGGCACATATGACATCTTTGTCTTTGTCAACGTTAGTTGATTTTAAATTGCACAAAATTTGATAATAAAATTATTTTTCTATATCAAATTAATAAGGTGTATCCTATCGATATTTGAAAGGTTATTTAATATATATATATATATATATATATATATATATATATGTATGTATATATATATATATATTTTTTTTTTCAAAAGATTATATTGGAAATATAATGATTTATAGAATTTTTTCAAAAGACTTGTATAATAAAAAATATTGTGGGTTAGATTTTAGTAAGTATATACCATAAAATTTAAAAGGACTTCATATATTTTTTTTATAAAAATATTTAAAATTATTAATGTCAACGCAAAAGCTATCTGATAAAGTTCATACAAAAATAAAAAAATTAATACAATTTGTTAATATTTGAATTGTAAATTATTCTAACTTAATATCTACCTAAATAACATTTTTTTAGTTATCACTCTTTCGTGTACTTAATTGAAATTATAGATGAAAAAAAGGACCAAGCAATGCATGACCTTTCATGGTAAGAGATTAAATTTTGCGTATTGAAGAAATAAAAACTTGGCAATAAAAGAAAAATAAATAATAAAAGGCGAGGAAAGTTATTTGATTAATATAAAAACAAAGAAAAAAAACATTTTGGTCAAAGGAGAGGAAGAGACCAGCACAGATTCTCCCATGCTCTGTCTCACACCTCTTGCCTATGAACCAGGCAAAGACCTTTGGACAGGTCAAACACAAAACCTCCATTTGATAAATTTCTTTCCAATTTCAATTGGATTCCTGTGGTTTTGATTTCACCCTCCACAATCTTCCAATTTCATTTCTCTTTCCGAATTTCTCTCTCAAGTAAAACAACACAGTATTCTCTTTCAGCTCATGGTATTGGTGGGTTTCAATTCTCCACCGTGATTCTTCCCTTCTTCGATTATTTCCCCGCAGTTCCCCATTTCCTCAATAACCTTCCAACTCGGAGGCACCTTCGATCTTGTGGTCAAAGTTTGCATCTTCGACTTTTTCTCAACATGGGTGGGGGCGAGAGCTCGAAGGGCGTTGTTTTGGGTCATTTGGTTGAGTGCATCAAGGAGATTTCTGGGTTGCCAGAGTGTCAGAACTTTTGCAAGAGGGTGTATGGGAATTTGGTTCGCAGGGTGAAGCTTTTGAGTCCTCTCTTCGAGGAATTGAAGGATACTGATGAGTCCCTCAGCGATGAACAACTTGAGAGCTTTGAGTCTCTCTTGGTTGCTTTGGATTCAGCTAAGATCCTTTTAAAGGCAGTCAGCCATGGGAGCAAGCTTTATCAGGTACGGTTTTCTGGTTTGATGAATCACTCCAAGGGTTGAATTTTGTGTATTTTTGGTTTTGTAGGTGATTGTGGTGAGATGGAAGGAAACATTTCTCTTGTCGTTGAGCCATTTATACAATTTTTTCTATGCAAACTAAGGAAACTAAATGATATGATCAAATTGTGTAAACAAACTAAAATAAGATAGAGAAACAAGGAAACAGAGCAACAGAATCGGGAGAATTATAGGATAGTGTCTCAATATATCTTTAACACTCCCATTGAATTTGGAGGATACACGTGTATGCTATATAGAGTCCCCATAAACACTTTGCAAAGAGTTATCAAGTTGATCCTTTTGAAATACATAGATGAGGTCTTGATGACACCGGAAGATCTTCGATATGATGAAATGACAATTAAGACCTCAGTATTCAAATTCAAGATAGAAATTCCAAATGTGGGAGTAACAAACAAGGCCAAGTTGGGAAGAAAAGAAAAGAAATTTAACCTCCAAGCCGAAGCTACTTGCAATGTTTAATCACCTAGGAATTCACATAAACACTTAAAGCAAAATTTACCTTCCTTCTATTTTGTAGAAGCCATCAACGTCATCGGATCAGAAAGAGACGCTTAACCACCATTTAAGTTAGAAGCAAAAAAAATGGCAATGCTTTACTACTAAGGGGGAAAGCAAATAATGTCCACCAAATAAACATAACCTAATCTTCAAGAATAGTAGTGACAGGCAAACAGTCAGAGAAATCTTGAAAGGTTGCTCCAATGAAATGTACAGAGGGAACCGTAAGGCAAT